AAGCTGAGAGCCTGAATGGGCCATTCAGAAGGGAACAATACAGATGGTGAACCACCCAGAGAATTTCAGCAGGGTGGCAGGGGAAATTACACTGATTTTTCTCGCCAGGATATTGTGGATGTGTTTCTTGGTACCACAGTGTTCAGTTAGTGGTATATAATAGCAGGACTAGGGGAAATGGATCCAAGTTGAGGGAGGGAAGATTTAGGTTGGATGTTAGGGGGAAGTTCTTTACAAGGAGAGTGGTTAGGCCCTGGAACGGGCTGCCCAGGGAGGTTGTGGATGCCCCGTCCTTGGATGTGTTTAAGGCCAGGTTGGACGGGGTCCTGGGCAACCTGATCTGAATGTGTGTGTTTGGTGGCCCTGCTAGGCAGGGGGGTTGGAACTACATGATCCTTGAGGTCCCTTCCAACCCGGGTGATTCTGTGATTCTGTGACTGCTGTTCATTGCTCACATGAAGTATGATGGAGTGGGTCTAATCTCAATTTAGGAGCAGATCAGCAGGTGTGCTCTTGTCATTTTCTAGCTATTGCATAATCACAAATGACTGAACACAGAAGAACAACGTGCTAAAGGCAGAAAGTTCTTCAAAATCTCATCCCTTCCTTGTACCAGCATCATTTCTGACACACCGCAGCCTGTGAGTCTTATCAGTGCCACTTAGCATAGGGAAGCCAAAGGAGAGTGTTCTTTATATCAGGCTCTTTTAAAAGTTTGCTTCACTTCTCCTTCTGTCTCCTCAGCTATCTCTGCAGCTCCGGGCAGATGCTTGAGAATAAGACAGGAGGCTTTGAGTCTGGAGGATTTTCTGGTCAGAAAATCTGGCTGAGTCTTTTTTTTTCACATGAAATAGTGAAGGCAATAATGAAGTCGTTTAGTGTTCACTGGATTTCTTGCTTCTGCATTTTATCAAAGAAACAGATTGTAAAACCATGTGTAGGTTGATGGGTCAGTGGGGATTGGGCAGATAGGGGTGGGAAGATCATGGGCTCGTTGATAGGGATGGATCTGTTTGCCCAAGGGCTTGCAGGACTTGACCTCTATTCCTATGGAAAGGAGAGAAGCCATCTCTGTCTGATGCACCAGGAATGGTACCTAACTACTAATACAGATATGATTAATAGCAAGGAGTCTGGAGCCAGCTAGGAAAGATTAATAGTTGAAGTCGTTAAGATTATTTCTGCTGATGTTAATTAAAATGACAGGAGTGGAGGGAGAACTTCAGTTGCTTTGTAAGGTCAGGCTCCCTCTGGAAGATCTTGAATAATGAACACAGCTCTTAGTTGTGCATTATGTCTATGAGTGCCTGTTAGGCTCAGTGAGGATATACGAAGAATTCATTCTAAAAAGAGGACTTTGTGGTTTGACCCTTGTTGACTGAATTCTCTACAGCCATCACACTGTATTATTAACAAATGGAGATCAAGTCCATCTCCTCCTGCCAAGGCATTCAGCAGCATGAAGAACAGTTCATTCATATGCTTTAGTTTTTAGTTAGATATGAAGTCATCAGGCAGTTGGATAAGGTGATATCTTTGGATAATCTTTGGATAATCTTTGTGGTCCTTTCTAACAGAACTATTCCATTCCATTCCACCCCACCCCATCCCATCCCACCCCATCCCATCTCATCCCATCCCATCCCATCCCATCCCATCCCATCCCATCCCATCCCATCCCATCCTTTCCCATTTCACCCCATGCCATTCCATTCCATTCCATCTCATCCCATTCCATCCCAACCCTGAACATCACAGCACACATCCCACATCCCACACCAAATCCCATATCCCATTCCACCACCCCACTTCACACTACAGCTGAAACCTCCTGGCTCCCTTTCAAGTGCTTTCATGCTCTTCATGTTGATATGTAACCTATATCAGAAGATGTACAAGATGAACCCAAGCCCCATTTTTCCCAAATTCTCTTGACTTCCATCACTGGAAACTCAATTAAAATTGGAGAAAGAGATTAGATACACTCCTATTTATTAAAACCTCTTTGAGGAGCATATGCTACCTTCTGAGAAAAGCAGGAGAAAAAAAAAGCAGGGAAAAAATGACGTGGTAAAAAAAAAATAGGACAATTTGTCATTGTTTAACTTACAACCACTTATCTCAGTGGGTGAGATGTTGTCTCTGGAGGGCCTCACAGGCAAATTAGTTCAAGCCTTGCTGCTGAAAAACAAACCTTTAAAGCCAATGAAGAGTTGCCTCCTGGCTAGGAACTCCACAGGGTTTCTTGTTGCTGGAAGGCGAGGAGAGCCCTGGAAGAACCCATTGAATGGCAGCTCCCTGTCTTAGCACCAACCACCCCTGCAGATTCCCAATGGGTGCCAGTGGGAACCACGCTTGCTCACCCTTCCCTGCTGCACAAAGTCCAAAGGGAGTGGGAGAAAGAAAAATTGTCCCATTGAAAAGGCTTCAGTGGCTTTTCCTGAGGAGTGACATCAGAAGCTCAGCCTAGGGCACAGTTTGAGATGTCTGAGGAGAACTGGGGTTAGATTGAATGACTGAAGATGCCCCTTCCAACTCAAATTGTTCTCCAATTCTGTCCCACTCTGCTGTCCCTGAAGGTGTTCCACAACAGTGGAGATGTGGGACTGAGGGATGTGGGCAGTGGGCATGGGGGGGTGGGGTCAGATTTAGTAATCCTAGTGGTCTTTTCCAACCTTAATGATTTTGTGATTCTGTGTGCCACTGAGAGCAGGAAAGCCATGACACCCTGGGGACGGGTGGACAAGGAGCAGAAGGAAAGAGATGAGGAGGGGCTGATGGAGAAGGCTGAGGCAAGAGGAGGGTTTGGGCATCTAGGAAGAAAGGATCCATCACCCACTTGTTTGCTGGTGTGTCAATGGCACAAGTGGTGAAAATAGGAGAGAGCTGAATAAATACAAAATCATAGAAACATTTGAGTTGGAAGGGACTGTTGAAGATCATCCAACTCCCATGCAATGAACAGGGATGCCTACAGCCTGACTGGGAATATCCAGAACATTAGAGGGGGTTTTGCTGAAGTCTGTGCAAGGCCTGGGTGCACCCTACTGCAGGGGATGTTTCTTTGCCTGAAAAAGTCAACCAAAGAAAAGTAACCACTTCTGAAAACATTACAGCAGATGGGAATCAAAGACTAGACAAGGACTCATGCCATTCAGCTTCATTTCTACTAGCTATGGACATCAGAACCCTGTTACTGACCAAGACCTACACTCCACAGATCAGCTTTTAGGGTTTTCTGGGGTGAAAGTCTCCTTCTCTCCCATTGAAGCTGTTCATAGAGAACTTTGTGTTCCATTGTGCAAAGAAGCATTTGGAAATGACTGGGCTGGAACTGCAGAGGATGACTACAGGATCCTACAGGACACACACAGAGGGTGACTGCAGCTGAGCAGCTACAACACTCAGCAAGACCTGAATACTTATCCTGTCCTTAAATCGACATCAGAAAAAAAGCTGCAGTAATTTGGGGGCATAGAAACCTTCCAAAGTTGGCAGCAGTCCTACCAAGAGGGTTGTTAAAACGTTGGTGTTGACCTTGGTCTTCTGGAGAGCCAGTTGTGTGCTCACAGCCAAGTGCAACCGGGAGCAAGGCAGGGCAGAGTGACAGCATCTCCTACTGCAGCAGCTTCACCTGAACAGTACAGAATAGCTTACAATGGGGAATGAGGCAGAGAACCAAAAGCAAGAACATTTCCAGCTCTCCAGTAGCTCAAACACTCCACAGGTTGAGTGATGTGGTCTAGAGCAGCCATAGGCATGGGTTGACCATTGGACTAGATGACCTCAGTGGTGTTTCCAGTCCTAATGATTGTATGATTGCATGATTCAAGGAGAGGGGAACTTCAAGTTGAGATCGTATTTGAATCCCCATCCCCAGCATCTCTTGGCAAACAGCCTCTGCACTAAAGGTTCTGCTGTGGTTTTGCACAAAACTGCTTTTAAATGGCATTGCAGCTGTGCAGAACGAGGGAGGTGTGTTAGGGCCCCAGTCCCTCCAAGGGAGTGGGACTGCTCAGTCTGAGAAATGCCTCCAGAAAGGTTCCATTTCTCATTAAAAGTCACTAACGAGGAGCCAAGCTGTGTCAGGACCCATGCAGTGCTTCAGGCTACCAGTGGGATTTTCTTGCAAAGCTAGATTGGATATCAAATTGGATATCAGGAAGAATTTCCTCATGGAAAGGGAGGTAATGCATTGGTACAGGCTGCCCAGGAGGTGGTGGAGTCACTGTCCCTGGATGTACTTAAGGGATGTGTAGACATGGCACTTGGGAAGATGGTGGGCTTGGTTGTGTTGACAGTTGGACTTGATGATCTTAAGGGTCTTTTCCAACCTAAATTATTCTATTCAACAAAGACCAGGTGTATTCTACCTAGGTTCCCAGTTCAGACTTCTCAGCACATCAGTAGATCTCTACCCCAGGGGTTGGTGTCACTCACTGCCCCACAACCCAAGACCTTACCCACTAAGCAGCCTTTCATCCCGCGCAGAACCCAAAACACAGCAAGGACAACACAAAAGTTGTCCTCTCCTCCCCTCCTGCTCCAGGTCTTCTTCCACTGCCACCTTCTCGAGGTGCTGCAGCAGAGTGCTGAGCGAATTCCAGGACACACAACCCACAAACTGCTTTGCAGAAGCACAAAGTTTCTGTCCATTGCAACGCCGCTAGCTCTGGAATCTTCTGCTTCTCCAGTGTACACAGAGTGACTGCAGGGAGGTGGGAAATTAGGCTGAAATAAATAAATTAAAACCAGCAGGAGGGGATCGGCATGCTGCTTGAATTAGTGTGGAGAGTAATTGTAAACAACTGGAGAAATGTGCCTTAAATTAATTTTTAGGACCTAATGGGATTTTGCTTGGACTATAGTCAGGAATGAAAAGCCTTCGATGGCAAAACAAGGCACTTTGCATAAATTAGCAGTTATGACATTAGTGAAGCTGACTCTTTTTTGGCTGGCAATGGAGAGCATGTGTGCGTATGTGCACGCCTGCACAGAGGGCTTGGGATTTGTTTTATTTATTATTGAGAGCTCGTTTAAAGGAGTTTAGCAGGAAGGGGTGAATCTTGACGCAGACGCTTAAAAGCCAGGGCTCCTGGGCTCTGTCTGCATGGGGAGAGAAGACAAGTCTTCAGTCTTCTACTGCCATAGGTTGCACCGGGGTGGAATTACTCTTCTGCAGAGAGCCGTGTTGGGCAATGTGACATCCCAGGACAGACAGAAAGGTTTCTCTGGAAGAAAGGATGCAGCAGCCTCAAAGAAACAATAAATATCATCCTTAGAATTAGTCTTCAGCCAAAAAAAAAACAAAAAAAAAGCCCTTTAAAAAGCTCAAAGCTCACCTGAACACTTGCAGAGATTGACCGTGAGACCTCTTGCAAGCAGCAGAGCCAAAATGGTTCATGGCTTTTTGGCTCAGGTAGCAGTGAGGGCTTTTGGGTTACACATCCTTCCTCTGGGGGTCCATCTCCAGCTCCATGCCCAGTCCTACCAGTGGCTCTGCTGAATGAGGGTCTTTATTTCAGTATTCACACTTCAGCACTGCAAAAGCATGAACTTTTTTTTGTACTTTTTTTAGTTGTTGTTGGTTTTTTTTTTAAACTGTGGTCACAAAAGTAAGCAGGCGCTTAAGAACCACCTTTCTGGTCTTTGGTTTCTTTCTTTTGCTCCTCTGAAAAACGTGCTGATGCTCCAAGCACTGCTATGTTCCCTGCTTGGTGAAAGTGAAGGAAATCTACGCCTCCTTCGTCCAAACCCACCATAAATGTCATCGCCCACCACGAGGGGCTTCCTGTGATCCACTGGTCAGGAAAATGATTTATTTTTAAGACGGCGTAAAACAAAATCAAATGTTTGGGGTTTGCTTTGCTTTGTACTCTGACATACAAGCAACATCCTCGAAACTGGATCTCCACATTACAGATGTCAAAATAACCCTAAAACGGAGACTAGAACTGGGAGCAAGGGATGGCTGTCCACCTTCACACCAAGTGAAGATCAGGGCGAGATCCCCTAAATGATACGGTAGCTCATAGAATGATAGAATGATAGAATGATGGAATGATAGAATGATAGAAT